CGCACTCCATCATTGTGAATAAAACTTTGATTATAATAAAATATATTTTTCATCAAAAGAGGTCATATAGTTTAACAACAGATCAGTTTTATATCATTTGAATTTCTCATGAAATTTTAGAGGTAGATAGGGATTATGTAAAGATGTATAGGGAGAGAGTGAGGGTTGCATATTTAGATTTGACAAGGTTATGATCAGGGAAGCATCCTCTCAAGAGTCTGTTCCACATTGCAGCAGTTCTAGGGAAGAAGCTTTTTCAATGGAACTTCCTCCTTACCAGTGGAATATGAAAGCAATGAGGATAAGTTGATTCGGTATACTTGCCATGGCAGGTACTAACTGTGAAGGTCTGAACTGGTGGAACCAAAAAATATAGTTTGCCCAAATATCTCATGAAAATAGTGGTAGAGCTGTGAGAGGCTAGTAACATTCTTTCTATAGGAAAGTGGTTGAAGGGTGGAAAACAGTTCTTGACTCATATGGTCACACAAAAGCTTCTAAAATTGTTAAAGGCTGCAGAGTAAGAATTAGATAAATCCAACCTAAATATTGCAGCAGTACTACAATTTTTGGTCTGTTCTTACTTTTGTAGAGTTAAAGTATGGCAGAAGGAGTGAGGTACAAGGAGCTGACCATTTTTCTAGTGTCTTTAGCAACAAATTATACATACAAGTCACACTTGTCATCTAATGTGAGCTTTGAATCTCAATAGACTTTCCAAACAAGGAGTGTCATTGTAAGTACAACTGTTCATCATGAGAAAATTAACTTTTGGCTAGTTTTTCTTTCATCTTACTTTTTGTTGGTTTTTATCACAACATTTAGGTCATTTTACAATCTACAATGTATTTCTATAATAAAATCATTAGCAGTGTGTTTACATAATAATCCTATTCTGTTAGTAATGCTTATTTTAATTCCTGACCACAGATACTCCCTTTTTTGCAAAATGCTGATTGTGAAAAACATTAAAACAAATTTATGATCAAGTATTAAATGAGCTTGCTTTTCATCATCAATTTCTCCTCTGCCTGCTATCAAAAATATATAGAAATCAATTATCTAAAATGATTTAGTTACTTAAATGTTGAATTAATTGCAGAATATACTGTATTTAAAAAAAATAAGATTTTTAATTAAAAAATTTCCACTCTTAATTTTTAAAATGAACAAAATTTTCATTTCAGTTTTTCATTAATAAATATTAAAATATTGAGATATGATTATATAATAAAACTGACTACCTTAAACTTCATAGAGCCACAGCCTCACCACATGAGATTTTGCTGTGACACTTTCCACTGTAAGTAGTTTTTTTTTTTTTTTTTTTTTTTTTAGAGGCGGATTTGCCAGCCCCATGACCAAACAATTGGGATTGGGGGTGAAAACATAACTTTATACCTTTCTCAAGAGTATTTGTGTGACAGTGAAAACAACAAACTCAGCTAGAATTTGAATTCAGTTTGCCGATTTCTCAGGAGAGAAACCAAGATCTCATTAACCATTACAATACACACACATTCAATATAATAAATATTATTCTTAATATCAGAAGTTCTGTAACAAGTTAATATCATAATCACAATATTTCAAATGTCTTATTCACAATATTTTTATATATTAAATTTTGCAAAAGGAATATTCATCACTGCTTTATTTCCCTTGAGTAGATGAGCCTTTTTTATACTAATGTTCACTCAATACAAGGCTCAAAAGCCACTCAAAGTAGAGGGTTACTGAATGAGGTTGTTTTCTGGATGTAAGAGGAGGGGGTAGGAAGTGCAGGTTATGAGGATATGTAGAATAGATAACATTTGATCCCAGGCTTTGAAGAGGTTAAGATTGTAGTGATTAAGGAAGCACCCACTCGGGAGTCTGTTCCACATAGCAATTGCTCTTGGGAAGAAGCTGTCCAAATGAATAACTTTTCACAGTATGGCTCTTTCTTAATGGATTCCTAGCCACATTTTGAAACATCAGTACTAAAATTTTATCAGGGCTTCACTCATTAAATAATCTCTGAAGTCCTCTTTAATAATTTGACTAGTTTCTCCAGAAAAAGAAGTTTGTTTTAAGGCAAATTTGATTCATAATCAAAGTTAAGACAAAGGTCACACAGTACACAAGATCACTCAGCAATGTCTCTTTATTGACAATGTAACCTCATGGGAGAGTGCCTGTTTATGCATGTGCAGGAAGATCATCTTTGACTATCAAATTACGTCAAGGTTCTGCAACCAGTTTTCAAGATGTTCAAAATAGTTGGTTACTTTCAAGAGTGATCTCATAATATCAAGTTTCATATGCTAACCACTAAGATATTATTTGGGGAGCTTGTGAAAATATTCATATTTTGATAGCATTTATTTTTATTCAGCAATGATTCATCTTAAGCATCACTTCATCTTGAACAAAACCTAGAATTCCTAATTCTTTTTGCTTGGAAATAAGGGCTTTTCATTGGTTAATACTTTTATGTACAAAGTGGAAAGCTTCAAGCTGTGGGACTTCCAAAGCACATTGATGTGGCCTTAATAATTCCCCAAATTCTGTTAGGGAATCAGAACTGGATGTATATGATTTCAAGCTGAGATCTTTGGCAAACATGGAAGTGTAATTCACATTGCTATATCGGTTACTGGCATTAAAGCATTCTAAATGTTACTTTAAAGTTCTAAAGCGAAATACTGTTGTTCTTAGCTGTATACGTAACTTGCAATATCATGGTGAGGATTTACAAAGTTAATACAACAAAGCTTTCATTCCCTCTAATGATTCTATATACATAGTGACAGCAAATACTAAAAGCATATGTAGGAAGTAAACAGAGGCCAACATTTCCATAATACATTGACTTTCATTCCTTCTAATGTTTCTATATACATAGTGACATAGCAAATACTAAAAGGATATATAGGATGTAAGCTAAGGCCAACATTTCCATAATACATTGACTTTCATTCTCTCTAATGATTCTATATACATAGTGACATAGCAAATATTGAAAGCATATATAAGAAGTAAACAGAGGCCAATACATTGACATTGACTAATGATTCTATATACACAGTGACATCATCATCCCTTCCAGTTAACATTGACTTTCCAGAAATTCTTATCCTTTTAAGCTTGAAGTAATATTTGTCCTTATACTATCCTTCCCACTTCATCTTCTGCCATCCATTTTCACAAGCTTTTTGGTCAATTTATATGATGTTTCTCTCTGGCCCTCAACATGTCCTGTGTGTGTCAAATTCTCCGAGCCCTCTCCTGTTCATTTTGTGCCCTAGAAATTTCCTCCATCTCTTTTTGATTTTAAGTAAAACTGTCCTTGCCATTTTTCTTAATACTTTTCATCCTTACACAATTTGTCCAACATTCGCTGTCATATTGGCAATATTGATATTACATAGCAATTTAGTACTTTATTTCAGGTGAAATTTTTCAGTTTCACATTTAATAATAATAATTAAATTTCTGTACTTGCTTGAGTTTGACTTCTCCAATTTGTTGTTCTCATCTTGGGATGCCCCTTTTGCTAATAACCATATCTTCTGTCTTTCAACAATTGATAGTCCTTTCTTCAGTCTTTCCCTTATTACCTTTTGTAGGAGTTACTGCAGTTTTACTTTTGTGATGGAAAGAAAAAGGGCACTTATAATTAACATCAGAGAGAGAGACAGGGCACATAATGAGGAAAGACTTGAACATTGACAGAACATATTGGACGCAAGAGAGTAAAACAGTAGATAACCTACCTAACGAGATTGTGTAAATGGTCAGCAGAACAGTATTTAGGAGAGATAACAAAAAGACAAAATTTACTAAGCAGTACAAAGGGCAGGACATTGTTAGAGCCATCACTAAGGAGCATGATATATAAAACAATAATGATTTTACAAAGGATTATGAACTCAGTGCTGGATTAACTTAGCAAATGGTACACTCGCGCATTTTTTTTTAGCATCCTGCATTAAATACTTGGAAATACTCTGGAAAAATTGACATTTTATAATCTGACAATGTTTGTTTATATATCCAAAAGAGGGGTCAAATTTAATCCTTCTTCACTTCAGTTAACCTATGAAGGCCATTAAATCTGCTCAAATATTGCATCAGAATCATTTGCCTCATATTTTCTAGGTTTGTTTATGTTGATCCAAGTGAAATATTTACCTATTCTATAAGCTCTATTACTGTTATAGTGGAACACACCTATTCTATAGTTAAAAGACTCTCCCACCTATAATAAGTAAGAGTAATGAGGCAGTCAGTCGATGTTGGTCGACCAGCTGATCGGTTGAACTCTCTGCCTTTGGGCGGGAAGGAACCTGAACGAGGCTACACCGAGGGACGTAGTCTCGTTCGGGGAGGTAAACCGTCCCTGAGCCCGTTTATACGGGTTCAATGGGCATATTTTTGGGCTGAGCCCACGGGCTCGGAGAACCCACAATAAATAACCAACCTTGTGTCACATGATGCCCCAGTGGGGGTGTAACTGAATATCCAGTCGATGTCAGACAACAGTTAGTCGGATACTAAAGTATCAGCGACCACAACTAGATTACTCTGCATTATACCTATTATATCAAGTTCCTAACGTTTTGTACATCGAACCTATTTTAGGACCGACCTAGTACAAATACAAGCCTCCACTGTGAAATCACTCCACAACAATTACTATGCTCATAAATAATTTATGATTTTAATATTTGTGTATTTTTTAATTTTGCACCCCTTTATAACATGTGCTACAGGCCTAACACTAGCTTAATCCAAATCTGAATATGAACATAATCTGCAGGCCCTGCATTAGTTTAATCCAGCTCTGTGTGTCCTTTGATAACTTTGTAGAATAACTTCTGTAATTAATATTCACAATTGTAATTTAAATATTTTTTTTTCACCATTACAGAGGAACGTTGTGTTTTGTGCTGAATAGCACATAAGATCCATAGGGTGCATCTATCACCATGAGGCCAGCAGCAACCCAGAAGAAAATGTCCATTGGTGGATCATCTGGAATATTGATTGAAGATAATGAAAATATTTGGTAAGTTAAATTGATTTTTTTTTTTTTTTTTTTTTTTTTTTAGGCTTGAGCTATTTTTTTTAGAAGTCAGGCAAGAATATGCTTCTTTATCAGATTCCTGTGATGTAATGAGTGGAGGCACAATGGAGTAATATATAACAGTTCAGACTGAGGAATCAGAGAGCCAAGTTCGAATTCCTGTTGAGTTCATTGCATTCACTTACATGCTAATGCCCTTGGGAAAGACATGAATCCACTTCTTCTCCCACCATCTATGGGTAAATAGCATGACAGACTACAGCCTTGGGTGGCAACTGGCTTAGGAGAAGGAGAAACTCAAAAGCAACCTGGAAAGGGTTGGGCTCTGTCAGGCTACCTTGCCCAGTAAACACTGCTGCTGTGGCTGCAGTACATGTGGTGCTCCTATGACTCTAATGGTTTATGGGATTGTGATCAAATAAAATGATAGTCATGTTCACTAATGAATTTTTTTTTTTACTAAATGTCCACTCAGTACAATGGACGCATACAAAGGAAATAACTGGATATGTAGGATAGATAAAATTTGACCCTAGATTTGAAGAGCATACATTTATTTTTTATTTTAATCCTTCCATGCGTGATAATAAGGTGATAATACCACTAAGACACAAGGGATTATTAAGAGTGAAAGAGAATGAAGAAAACTATAAGAACACTTCTACTCAGAGCCAGGAAAAGATAAGTGAAATTCCTTGGACATAATGAAGAAGGAGGGCTTTAGAAAACTTAACCCTCACAGGGTATAATGAGGGCAAGTCTTAAAATGGCAACAGAAAGAACACTTCTACTCAGAGCCAGGAAAAGATAAGTGAAATTCCTTGGACATAATGAAGAAGGAGGGCTTTAGAAAACTTAACCCTCACAGGGTATAATGAGGGCAAGTCTTAAAATGGCAACAGAAAGAACACTTCTATTCAGAATCAGGAAAAGATAGCTGAAATTCCTTGGACATATAATGAGGAAAGAGGGCTTTAGAAAACTTAACCTTCATGGGGTATATTGATGGTAAAAGAGATCGAGGGAGGCAGCAAGCCACATCTGATGAGTCTGTGAGAATGGATGGTGGAATGTGGAATAGGGACCATAGCAAAAGGTGAAAAACTGCTGAGAGCTACATGAGATAGGAAGTTGAGGAGAGCCTATGTCTGGAAGGTATGCAGCACATAAAATTAGATAATGAAGAGAAAGGACAATAAAAGAACAGAATTCAAGAAGACAGAAGATGGCAATTGACATTGCAATTAAATTGGTGGACAAATATGTGTTTTTGCTAGTGAGAAGTGAAGGTTGGATTTGTGACCCCATTTTGTCATTTCTACATTACCTGTTAGACTGTTACAATGGACTATCATTTGAACTGTGATTTGGCTACAGGTATTGTGGACGAGAGACAAATGAAACCTATTGCAATCGTTTACTGCTACTATAAGTTAAGTTTTTTTTTGTTTTTTTTCTTTAATATAACAAGTTTTCTCATGCATTTATTCTCAAACACTTGGATCCTTCTCTCTGTTTCTGCCAAAAGCGTCCATGTTTCACTTCCATATAAGAGAATGGCATCTTCTATTGGGAACAAAAAACCTATGAGTTTGTGCAAAAAAGGGTTGTAAGTTTTGTAGATCACCAGGAACCTCTTCTTGCCACTGTCAAACAGAGAAAAATGGCGTGGTTTGGACTTGTTTCAAGGCACAAGAGCCTGTGCAAGACCATCATGCAAAGCACTGTTGAATGTGGATGTAGGAGAGGATGCCAACACAAAAACTGGTTGGACAATGTGAAACAATGGGAAATTATGACTATACCAGAATTGCTGATGGCTGCCATTGATAGACTGCTGTAGATGAGATTCAATATGGCTTCTGCATTCAGATACCCACTACAATTACAAAATTCAAGGGTTGATGATGATGGTTATTTCAATAGTAAAACAATTTTTATATGAATTTTATTTTCCATAACATTATCATGACAATAACAGTAGTTAGTATTCTTTGACTTTAATATATATATAATTTGTATATATTCCTTTCCTTACATAACATATGAGAGAGATTTCTGTATTTAAAATCTCTTTTAAAACTATTTAAAACAGATCAGGTATTTACATAAGGAAAGGAATATATACAAATCATATATATATATATTAAAGTCAAGGAATACTAACCATTTATGCTACCATGGTTTCCACTGATAAGGTTTTTTCAGACAGTAGAGGTTAGTTGTATTTCCTGAATGCCTTGTTTATTTATTTGAACATTCTCAATAGGAATTATGATTGAAGGGGAGGATCAAAGCAAGAGTATATGTGTACACACACACACAGACATATAATGGCCAGCTACTTATTTCCGAGCACATCCATCTGTCAGGGTGGCTGACCAAACCCTATTTCAAACACCTACTCTGTTGTTTATATTGCAACTGTACTGAGTAAACCTTAGTCCCAATTTCTGTTGGTTTTATGTTACCTTCTCCATAGTTTTGAATTTAGTTTTTTTCTTCTCTTAAACTGGTTGCCAAACAAGGCTTGAGAATCCAGTTTACCCTACTTTTTTTAACCATAGCTGTAGGGAGAAGAATACAAATTTGTTTCTTTCCTAAGAGCCTTTGTACGAAAGTGAATTCCACTGACAGCACCAGAATTTGAATTCAACCTGCCAATTCAACGTTTTGTACTGATGTTGCACTACCTGCAAATTCTCATCAAACATTATACAGTGAAAATTTCAGATCGGAATCAGTTAATAACTTCAAGCCAGGTTATAGACTTATTGATCATATATCTCTGTCATGATATTGCTTCGCTATTTATAATTGATTCTTTGAGAAGTTTTTGGTCAAGACATTATTGAGTAAGCAATAATCCATCCTTGAATTGTGTGAAATCTGTCCTAGGAACATGTGTGCAAATTGAAAGTAGACAGCTTACCTGCTTGAACTACTGCTAAGACCCTTATGTTGGGCTTGTATCCATAGCAGCTCCTGTGAGGCATGGGTGACTGAGCAAATGACAAGTTGTAAAATGTTTCTTTGTAGCAATTTGTTTTGACAGGTTTATCATCAATGCGACAATGGCACATGAAGATAGTCAAGCTTGGAGTCAACAATGTTAATAGTTGATGGAAGGTTGATAAAAAAATATGTAGAACAGAAAAACAAAACAGAAGTGAGAACTTCTTTTATGCACTGTGTTCCTTCAGGATATGGGCTATCATGACTATCCACAGCTTCCTATCCTTTGTAGCTCTTAGCAATGTTGGTACTTTTACTGTCTTTCCCAAACCCTGTTCTGCCAACCATCTACACAAAGTTATTAAGTCAAACACTTCCTGTTTTCCAATATATCTCTTGTGCTTGGTTGGTTAAACACTTACAATTTTTAGAAGCGCTTTGCATCGAGCATCATTGACTGACCTTGTGCAGACGAGAGAACTTTCTTTGTTCTCTGTGTCTCATGGGTGGGTCATGAGTAATCTTTTTTCTCTGCTTTACACTCTTGAGGAGCTTATTTACACTAATTTGTTCTTTTAGTAATAAATTTATTTTAGTCATTGCTCCTTATTTACCACGCAGTGTTCACCTTTTTCAGTTTTGATTATTGTTGTTCCAATGAAGAATTGGTCAACTGAAGAAGTGTTGACCAAAAAAGATTCCTTTTTAAAAGAATACACTCCGTCATTTTTGAAACTATAAATTCTGTGGTATAAAGTTTTTTTATATATATATATATATATATATATATATATATATATATATATATATTATATGCACAGTACTTAGTGGAAAGTGCTCAATATCTGTGATAGAGCTAACATATTCATATATATATATATATATATATATATATATCCAAAAGAGGGGTCAAATTTAATCCTTCTTCAGTTACTTACTCGTGGCAGACATGAGACAGAACCTGGGACGAGCACAACTGGTCACGACTTGCCTTGTCCCCGCCAAAAAAGAGCCCGTATTTGGTTAGCATGTAAAGCTACTGCAGTTGAAATGAGGGAGAAAAAAGCACTTGCCGTAATCCGTCCTCGGCCAGATAACGTAAAAGAATGAGGGGGGACTTGCATTGCATTTTTATGCAATAAAGATGCAATGCATTATGGGACATGGAGGCAATGAATTATAGGATCACATGAAGACGCAAGGGATTATGGGTATATGGACAAATATAAAAGCAACTACTTTTTTCCCAGTAGGGGAGTTCTTTGAGTGATGTTCACGTTTGGTGGCAAGAACAGTCTGTTAGTGTGATTTGGAGACAGAACTCAAGAAGGAACAACTCAAGGTTGAAATACTAGCTGGGAGAGCTTGAATTTACTCGCTGGTTGCTGTTTTCTTTATTTCGCCTCAATATATATATATATATATATATATATATATTATAATGATTTTTCTTAAAAGTATGATTCCATCGCTACACAGGAATTACCATGTTTCAAAAACACAAGCTAAAAACTTCCAAATCATTTATAGAATTAAATTTAAAGTACCTAGTTCTGTTTCTTTTTCAAGTGAGTTTTGGAATAAATTATTTTGAAGTTTACAGATAAAACTTGATAAGCACATACATTCATAATATTAGTTTCTATGGATATGGAGAAAACCAATCATATTAACAAGGGGTGGTAGGGTATTCATTTTCACTGACAACTACTGTATCAACATATTAGTTACTTCCGAAAAGAGGTTAAGTCAAGGTAGAGTAGGGGTACCTTTTTTCAAACGAATGATGACATCCGTTCAACGCATGTCGGCTGGTCTTTTCAGTGACAGTTTTTCTGCACACACACACACATATATATATATATATATATACTCTCCCATTGTTTTCAATATATGAGGGTCCAGTAGCACAGTTCCTAGAACCAAATGGACAGACTACCCACATATATAACTTGATGATAGTGGTGACAGCTTGTGCAGAAACAGCTACTTTTCTTGAAGAATTGAATACAGAGAACTAGTGTATA